TTTCGAAGCTGGGATCATAGAATTCGGTTAATGGTTTTTCTAAGATGTCTTCTTCTTTTTTCTTCTTCTTCTTCTTTTTCTTCTTCCCGGACAGAAGATCGGGGATGCGAGAAAGGGTGCGATCTGTCTGGAGGGAAAGAAAGCAGGCTGCCCTCGACAGGGGAAAAAAGAAAAGAGCGAGCACGTGTATCGACACATTTTTCCTTTCCCTTTCCCTCGGCTTCAAATCATCCATGCTAATTAATGCTACACTCTCTCTCTCTCTCGAAAAAAAAAAAAATGTTTCTTTGCTCAAACACACGTTAGGAAACGAACGTTCGAGGAGAATATCGAAATTTATTAAAATTATTAAACGAGAAGTATAATAAAATATATATATATATATAAAAATTAAAAAACATAAAATAATTAAAAAAAAAAGAAAAAAATCAGTACAATAAAAAAAGACTTCCCCATAGTACGAAATGTAAGAGGAAACAATTGCAAAATCGATGGTAATAGCTATGGTAATATTTTTTTTTTTTTTTTTTTTTTTTTTTTTTAATAAGGAGCGTTTAGCTTAAATGGAGGTAGGAAAAGACGAAAAAGATAACTGGTAAAATGTTGGTGGTTCGTGGGGGTCAAGACGGAAGTTAGGACGGGGAGGAAGTATGCAAAAAAAGCGTGGAATTCGCACGAGAGTGGTGGGACAGTTTAAGGGTGGGGTATCGAAAAACTAGCGTGATGAATCGAAACGATAGGCCGGCCGTGATTGGACAAGCGGCCTCGGTTGAAGGGAGAGGGTAACTGCCCTCTCGGCACGATCCACAAATAAGCCGGTATTCCATTTTGGGTCTTAGGACATCCTCAGTCGACCTCGAGCATTCGTATGGAACTCGAGGCCAGGATTAGTTCTCTTTTCGGTTATACGCGCCGTATATTTTCCTTGTGTACGAGTTGGATATTAATTTCGTTTCGTCTCTATTCCTTTCTCCTTTCTACACGTACGTCGAAACATCGCGCGAGAAGAGGTGCGATCGAGAGAGGTTGCCACGAGTTAGTTAATTAGTTGGTTGGTTGGTTGGTGTGTTGTCAGTGTATGAGAAACCGTGGATCGACTCGAGGCCTCCAGGAATAATTGGAGTAAACTGGAGGAAAGTGAGGGGATCGTCTTCAAGGTATGTCCACCTTTTTTATTATCCTCCTCCCTTTATTCAACAAATATGAACGAACGTGAATGAAATTCCTTTTCCTGCGAATTCGATAAAAATCGTTGCTTGTAAATCTGACTGACACCGATATATCCGTGAATCTCGTCGATCGAGATAATTCTCGAGGGAAGAGGCAAAACGGTTTAAAACGGTCGGTAATTATCGGTATTTTTGAGGGAGAACGATTGCCGATCGTGGATTCGAATCGTGCTTTCCTTTTTTTTACGCGTGTCTTCGATCGTTTTACGTTCGATCATGCATTTTTTACGCTTCTCGTTTGTTTTTACACACGATAAAATAAAACGTTCAATTTCCAGCGTGTACGTGTACGTGTCGAATGTATTAGATTCGTAACGACCACGGTTTTGAGTTTCTTTTGAAGCCTTTTCCGGGAATCATCGATATCCCCTATATCAGAGGTAATACCAATACGCGACGTAATTGGCCGTTGTTTAGTTTGCGTGTTTCGAAAAGTGTCGATATACAGCAATAACATCGTGTATCGGGATCGGTGGAAACAAACACGGAGAAAATTCAACATGTCGTGAGCAACAAGGATATCGGAAAAACAAACGTTAGATCGTTTCTCGTGAATTTGGTCGCAAATCTTTCTTTCTTCTTATTTGTTACTTCTCCCTCCCTTTTGTTTCCTTTATTTGTCTTTTTCCTTTTTTCGTTTTTTTCTTTTTTTAATCGAAAAAAAAAAAAAAAGAAAAAGAAAAAACGAGGAGGAACCGCGAAGGAATCGGCCAATTGCTCGCCTAATTGTTTTCGCAATCGCCATAACGTCGCCGGCGAAATGAAATTTTTCGCCTTTCATTTAATGTCGTCGCCTCGTTAATAGCGGTCCGTCTAAAATTTACACCGTTCCGATACATTCGTATTCGTTGTATAGATAAAAGCCTCAAATTATTCAAAATAAACATTTTCACGATTTAAAGCGATTATATTCCGTATAGGTTATTTTTCGTACTTTCAATCCCCTTGACGATATATCCACATCAAGATTTCACAATTTCAATTTTGCAAAAATCTTTATCGATTACCGGCTTTAAATCCTTCCAATTATTAAACTCAGCTAATTTTTTTTTTTCTATAATTCCACGCATTTTGTCATCAGATTTTTAATTTTTAATAATTATCCATTTTGAACAATTCAATCGTTTTCTCAGCGCGATCCGTGATTAATTTTGCGAATTTTTCACGTATAGATTGTATCGATTGTGAGCTTTAAATTGTTCCAATTATATTAAATTAGCCAATTTTTTTTTTGTAATTCCACGCATCTTGTCATCAGATATTTAATTTTTAATAATTATCCATTTTGAACAATTCAATCGTTTTCTCAACGCGATCCGTGATTAATATTGCAAAAATCTTTGCGAATTTTTCGCGTATAGATTGTCGAGGCTTTAAATCGTTCTAATTATATTAAATTAACCAATTTTTTCCCGTAATTCCACGTATCTTTTTATCAGATTTTAAATTTTTATTACGATTAATTATCCATTTCGAACAATCCAATCGTTTTCTCAGCGTGGATCATCCGTGACTATATTCGCGAATCTTCCGCGTATCTGTTCCGTCCCTTCGCCATAGGTTTTCTATTTATTGTTGTGATCGTGCTCGGAATTTCGAAAGGTTCTTCCTTCGACCTTTGCCAAAGCCTTTTTTTTGGCCTTTATTCGAGCAGGAAAGAGTCTGCTTTAATCGAGTTATGAGCGTTCGCGCGTCGTTGAAAGAAGAATTTCGCGACAGAGAAGAAAGGAATGGTCGCGCAGAAATTGTCCGAATCCTTCAAACTCGTAACGATGATAAATGATTTACGTCCCCTAAAAAGAATTTATGCTTCGACTTAAAAACTTTGCATACTAATTTTACTAAAGCTCGGTGCCTAAAAATCCTCACTGTTACAAGGGTTGTTTTGTTTTCACCCCGATCCCTGGTTTACCCGGACAGAGCAGTCAGGCAGATGAAAGAATTGTGTTTGAAATTTTATTTATGGCCATTGTTGGCACGGGGTAAAACGGACAATGAGATTTTCTGGTCAAGAAGTCAAAAGCGAAATCTTCCAATCCGAAATCTCTGGTCTCTCTCTCTAGGTCTTCCAACCGTGCTCCACTTGAATAAATGAAGCTAGAAACTTTTAACCCTAGTGACGCTTGACCTTGGAATCGAACGAACAGTAAATTTTGTTGCATGTTTATTAACCAATCGTTTTGGTCTCGAGTTCCACCACGATCTTCCCTTCTTTCGTAAATGCGCGTAAATATGTCGGTTTTGATATAAATCAAAAAAAAAAAAAAAAAAAGAAAAAAAATAATAAAAAATAAAAAATAAAAAAATAAAAAATAAAATAGGAAAAAAGAAAAAAAAGTTAAAGAAAATCTCGATTAATTTATATAACTCGAAATAGGATCTCGAAAGTCGAATATATTGGCAAAATTAACGAGAACTGTGTAATGTATATAAATCGAACGATGATACACGTTCCACGGAATCGTTCAATGGCACTCGTATTGTTCTCGAATCGAAACAAATTTTACCATTTGTTGTCTCGCTTCGAATAAATTAGCCGAACTGTTCTTATATACGCCTAAGAAAGATTCGTTCTCGTTGCGCGTTCGAGAGGAAAGGACGACGGGGACAACAGGCAAACATTGTGAAATGATTTTACCCGGAATTTGGTTTGGAATAGGAACGAGACCGCGGCCTTTGTACCTTTCCTCGCGGGAATTCCTACAATTTTGTCGCGAATCCTAACCCTTCTTGTAATCCCATATTGTATCGATTCAAATCTTTCACTCCCCCCCCCTCCCTTCCACACTTTTTCCCTCTTCTTTACCCATATTCCATTCAAATTTTTTTTCTTACATCCCCTTTCTTCCTCGCATCTGCTCTTATCCATTAAAATAAAAATTCGATCCATTTTTTTTTTTTTTTTTTTCTAAACCACTCGCGCTAACAAAAACTGCTCGAATTAAATAATATACACCATCGAATCATAGATTCCAACAATTCTCCACTACTCATGATTCAAATAAGAAGAAAACTAAGAACTCGTATTCCAACCATTTTACGTAACGTATGATTTCTTATCGATCGATCGAAATTAGGATTACGAGGAGGATTGCGAATGATAAAGTTGGGAGGAATAAAAAAGTTGACCGTTGTCCATCGTGAGCTTGAGCGAAACGACATTTTGTCGATCGCGGAAGGGGAAGGAAAAGAGAGAGGGGGATGGAGAGGAAAAAAAACGCGGACGAAGGGAAGACAGAGAGAGCGAGAGCGAGAGCGTGAGCGTGAGAGAGAGAGAGAGAGAGAGAAGGGGGAAGAGAAGGGGGAGAGAGGGATGAATAGGTTAAAGGGGGAAAAAAGGGGAAAGGAGACTCGATCGGAGAGAGGGGTTGAAACGATTACTCACCACGATCCTATCGGCGATACCCGAGGCGGGCGTGGTTGGTGAATGGAGAGGGGATGGCGTTGCTCTCTAACAATGGTTTGTTGCCGTTCTTGCCGATTTGCCACGTGTATGGCTCCGTGCCGTGTCCATCGACGATTCCCTCTTCTCACCTTGTTCTCGCTCTGTTTACCAAAACTTGATAACAAATTATCAAATTATCGCGTTATCGACGCCACGCCTTTTCGAATTTTTTTTCCTTTCTTTCCCTATCTCTCTCTCTCTCTCTCCTCGAATACCGCTTTTCGTGCTTTTCGAACGAAGGGAGGGCAATTTTCGTTTATAATTTTTTTCTTCTTTTTTTTTTTTTGCACGGGATGAACGAGAAAAATATTATATCGGTTCGCAGAATGAAGTTTCCACGGCAGGATGGGAGCATGTCGGATTACGATTCGCCGGACACCTCGCAGTCGACGAACAACAATCATCAGGCGACCGTGGTCCAGGATGAAAGTAGCAGATTGTCGCCCAACGATCAGGGGGAGCGTTCCTCGGAGCAAGAATCGGAGGAGGCGGACGAGCCGGGGCTCCGGATACCGCGATTGAATTCCCAGGGGAAGGTGAAAACGTTCAGATGCAAGCAGTGCAACTTCGTCGCGATCACGAAGCTCGAGTTTTGGGATCACAGCCGTAACCACATCAAGGCGGAGAAGTTGTTGACCTGCCCCAAATGCCCCTTCGTAACCGAGTACAAGCACCATTTGGAATATCACTTGAGGAACCATTTCGGCTCGAAACCGTTCAAATGCGAGAAATGCTCTTACTCGTGCGTGAACAAATCTATGTTGAACAGCCACCTCAAGTCTCACTCGAACGTTTATCAATACAGATGCGCCAACTGTACTTACGCCACCAAATACTGCCACTCGTTGAAACTTCATTTGAGAAAGTACTCGCATCAACCCGCGATGGTGTTGAACGCGGACGGTTCACCGAACCCGTTGCCGATTATCGACGTTTACGGGACGAGGCGGGGCCCTAAGCAGAAACCTGCGGGCAAGTCGATGAACGCTACCAACGAGGAGATGAACAACCAGAACAACAACAACAACAACAACAACAATAACAACAGCAACAACAACAACATGGCGAGCAACGGTGGCCAAATCGCTTCTCCTCAACAAGTGGTGCCCCCGCAAATATCTCCCACGTCTTCGAACGTCAATCACGTCGGTTTGCAATGCGCGATGAATAACGGGGCAAACGGGAACGCGGTTCCGAGCAACGGCACGGCTATCGCGAGCACGTCGAGCGGGATCACGCACAACCAGGCAGTGATCACGTATCCGTACAATCAATTGTTCACCGGTTTCGCCCTCTCGCAATTATCCACCACCGTGATCGCGGAGGATAACGGTGGCGATAATCAATTGGACCGGATAAAGGCGAACACGTTGATGGATTACCTGAGAGCGATGGACGAGGAAAGAATGTCGGGCGAGACTGCCCAGGATCTCGTCGTCAGATGCCCTAACGGGAACGAGGCGTCGAACGGCGTGAACGGGACGTCCGACAGCGGGACGTCCAGCATGACCGAGGTATCAATGGAGCCGAATTCTATTGATCATGTGAGCGTGTACACGGACGCGCGAGTCGCGCCATTGGATCTCAGCAAGCCTGATACTCAGTCAGCCAATGATTGCTCGGCCGTTGGAAAGCCGAGCGGCAATTCGCCCAAAGTGACCGGTACAAGCAGACGAAAGGGGAAGGCGGTGAAGTTGGAGCGCAGAGTGCTCGAGGAGGACACGGACGACGAGCAACCTCACTCCTCCCAATATGAGCAGCAGCATCGTCAACACCAGCAGCAGCAGCAGCAGCAGCAACAGCAGCAACAGCAGCAGCAGCAGCAACAGCAGCAGCAGTTACTGCAGCAGCAGCAATGGCAACACTTGGTGGAACAGTTGTACTCGCAGACGCAACCGCATCTGCAACAACATCAGTTGCTCCAATTGCAGCAACAGCTGCAACAATTGCAACAATTACAATTGCAGCAATTGCAGCAACATCAACTTCAGCATCGCGCATCAATGGAATCGGACGGATCATTCGAATCCTCGTCCTCGAGCAGCCCGAGTTCCGGCGAGGGAAAGGACGAGACGAACGAGCGCAACTTCGCCATAAGCCACGAGCTCACCTGCCATTTCTGCGAGATCGTATTCGGTAACGTGATCATGTATACAGTTCACATGGGCTATCACGGTTTCCAGGATCCTTATACATGCAACATGTGCGGCCACCAATGCAACGACAAGGTGTCTTTTTTCCTTCATATTGCCAGGTCGAAGCATTCCTAGATTTAAGGATTGATTAGATTTCGCGAAGCAAGTATATACGTACATATATACACGTACACATACATATATATATATAGAGGGGATCTTTGAGACGAATCATTGATTGAATCGTCGAACGAGTCAAAGGTTTTGTCTTAAAAAAAATTGGGTATTTTTCCCATCAAGACGAGAATTTTCGAGTTTCAAGAGTGGCGTCGTTCGACCATATACAATTGATCACGAGAAATAGGGGAGAGGTGGGGAGGGGGAGGATTTCGAACAAGGATCGAGGATCGACTCCGTGGTTACCGTTCACTTTAAAAAAAATACTTATACCTCTTTTTTAATACGCGTGGATCGTAATCGGAAATATATCAACGCGTGTGTACAAAAATTTTTCTATATAAACTCATATAGAGATTATATATATATATATATAACACGACATTACATTATATATATTTTCGCAAGATAAAATTTATCTCGCGGATATCAAATTTTTCAAAAAAGAAAAAAGGAAAAAAATTCGTTGGAAAAATTGATGTCCGATCGATATAAGATTTGCTGGAATGAGAATGAAAATTTTCAGTCGTCTAATTGATCGAGAGCTGAGTAATATGACGCGCAAGAAAATGAAATATTTTTCCAATGTTTTTTATAAAATTTTCTATATACATATGTATACTCGTTATATTATTCAGCTCGAAAAGTTCCTAGAATTTTATTTTATTTTCTGGGAGGATTCTTGTCCCAGCAAGTGATTCCTACCGATTCAATATCGAGAAAAATATAGATGGATGAAGGTGTAGTGAAATGCTCAATCGTTCCAATTCCATGTTAAATGTCAATTAAAAAAAAAGTTGATGTTAACACATCCGACCAAACGTAGCGAGATTTTACAGATTACCGTGACGATCGATTATAATTACAATAAAAAAAAAAAAAAAAAAAGAAAAAAATTCCTTGATTCTAGTCAATACGTACCGAATGATTCCTTTCGGTAGTAACAATGTGCAATTTGACTAATCATCACGGTAAACTGTATGCAATCTCAAAATTTAATAAAACGAATATAATATTGCTTGATCTTTTGATATAATTCTTTTTTTTTTTTTTCTTTTTTTTTTTTTTTTCTTCTTTTCATTTCTTCGTTGATCGATATTGAAATTGAAATACTTTCGAAAGTTCGAACGAAACGAAAGTTCTTCGATTCAAATTATCGAAACTATTCAAATACGTTCTATATATATATATAGAGGTCTTCTTCGAATTGACGAAATTAATAATTTTTTTTATGTTTTTTTTTTCCCCCCTTTCTTCTTCCGGAGATGTGTTTTACGTTTTCATTTTATGCATTTCGATGTCGATTTTATGTTTCTTCTTTCTTTCTTTTTTTTTTTTTTTTTTGGAGTTCAAAATTAACATTGACGAGAGGTGGCTAACGTTAAAGTAGACTGCGACATTTTCGTTTTTATGTTTCTTTTTCTTTTTTTTTTTTTTCCTTTATCCAATCGAAAATTTGGACGCTCAATTAAAATCAACTCGATTCCTTTTCCTTTTTCTTTTTTTTTTTTTTGTTTTTACGTTCTTATATTCAATGACGTTACGTTATTTCTTTTTAACAATGTTCTGTTTTAACGTTAACCACGAGAACTCTTTATTCGATTTAACAATTTTGAGTTTTCAATTCTCCTTTTACCAACGAGAGAGATCCGTGAAAAGGTATGCGATAAATTTCGAATCGATCGAAGGAAGACTCATTGACTCACGAGCAAGAGCGTAGCGAATGATTTTTCACATAAAAAAAAAAGAAAAAAAAAACTGCAAAGGATTTATATAAATAATAATATATATATATAATATATATATATATTTATATTATATATATATATATAAAATTCTGTATTTTTGCAAAAAAAAAAAAAAAAGAAAAATGAAAAATTCCACTCAATGTGATTTTTGAGAAGGATGTGGTGTGTCGAGGTGAATTCGACAAAATTTGTTTCGATTTCGTCGCAAGGAGATAGGAATATTTTTCTGGGAAAGGGAGAAAGACTGGAGAGTATACGAGAGAACCGAAGAATTCTGTCCTGAATTACAGATCATTCCTCCCAATCGATATCTCGAAATGTATGTACATTTTCATAGCGTAGGACATCGCCATGACTTTGCAGCGGTAACCGCATAAATATCTGCAACGATTCCATAGATTTTATATTTTTAACGATGCAATTCGCAGACGGGAGAGGGCGATCAATTCCATCGTTATACAAAAAAAAAAAAAAAAAAAAAAAAATAAAAATCTATCGAATCGTACGCGTTATTATACTCGTTACCATTACTGCGTAATATCAATGACCTGGGTTAACTTCTTAATCGATTATTGGGACGGACGTATGTGATATATAATATAGGATAGGGCCAACAATTCTTGGTCCTCCTCTTACGTTTATTTGATTCTTACATATGTAAAAAGAGATGTATGTCCATGATTAATATTGTAAACAATTTATGCGTATGCGTTACATCACCATGTAAAGGGGTTTGTGAATGTTGGGTTTGTTTGTTATTATATAGGGCTGGTTAATAATTGTTCCACAATACATTGCATTGAATGATTTCCACACTTGTGTTTTTTTATTCCCGGCCGTTCGTTCACTTCTTTCTTTTCTTTTCTTATTCTTCTTATTCTTCTTCTTTTTTTTTTTTTTTTTGAAATAAAACAAATTCTCGAAAACCATCCGTTTCGAAGTAAGAAGATATATACAGATAGATAGATAGATTTTATTATATCTATGTTTTCGCGTTTGGAATTGCGAATTGACGAAATTACATATATATATATATTATTATTATTGATTTACGCGATGTGTGCAAGTGAAATGATGTTTCAATCATCCCTCTTTACGGATATGTAATACGCAAAATACAAAAATTTATTTCTGCAATATTTACGCTTCTTTCATTTACTTTCCTCGCTATTTTTGTTCCCCATCTTAAAAACCTGGAAACCTTGATTCTACGCGCAATTTTGCGCGTTTAAGGTTCGTTTAACTTTCATTTTTCAGGTGAAGCGTTCCACGGGCAAGCTATAATCCATGGTATCGTGCCGAAACAAATGCTAATCGAATCGTTGGAATTCTTTGTTCCGGATGTGGTCAAATAAATATTGAATTAAAATAATAATCTTATTGAAAATAATCTTCAACTTGTTTGTATTTATATTTGTTTAAAAAAAATAGAACAATGCCGTATGAAATGTTGAAAACTGTCTGGACCCCTGATCTGATCGGGCCGATATACAAGAAGGAGATCACCAACTTACGAGAGGTTAATTCTTTTTTAGGAGGGGGAGGAGGAGAGAAGAATAAAATTGGATTAATTCGAAAAAATAATTAGGTGTTGAACACTCATCGACACGATACGTGCACTCGAACAATGGCGACTTTCGTCCCCGACGAGTTGATATACGAGAGCGACTTAACTAAGAAAAGTTTCCGCAAATTCAAGGCTGTAATAATGCTGATCGATGTGACGCAATTGTTCAGTTTCTACAGAAGATTCACATACGCGGAGAATGGCGGTAGTTACGGTTTCTTCTCTCTGTTGAACGATTATATGAGCGCCATAGTGGAAGAAGTATATATTAACCACGGAGACGTGTTGAAATTTTCTCGTACGTTTTCTAATTTTCTACTTATATCGAGAGAAAAAAAATTACATTCAAAATTATATATATATATATATAATAACATTTTTATCGAACGTATAGATAATGATCTGCTAATCATGTGGAAAATAACCAGGAACGAATTCATTGCAAGAATAATACGTCACGTGATTATGACCGCGGAAAGTATCCAAAAAAGTATCGCCGCCATAAAGAACGAAATCACTCCTATCCCAAAATGTAACGAATAATGGAATAACGAATAACGAATAAAATTAATAATCGATCGATCGTATCGACAGTGTCTATCGTAATCTCCATGGGAACTGCTGTATTTTCGGTGATCGGTGACGACAGGTGTAGAAATTTTGTAATATGTGGTTCGTCGATCCAGGACATTAAGTATACGAGAAGAGTATGTTTACCAGGCGATATCGTGTTGTGCGAGAGCGCTTGGCAATATTGTGTCCCCAGTCATTACGAATACGTTCTTAAGGATGCGGACAACGTTAAGGTTGGCGAATATAATAATTATTTTACGAGTTTAGAGAGAATTTTTAAATCGTTCGAGGAGGAGTAAAAAGGCAGTTTAAATCTGATAATGGATTATTCTCGCGGGATAGATCATTAAAGTGCTCGAGGCACCCGAGGAAATTTTGATGGTGAAAGACATAGGGATCGAGGAGGATATCATAGAACTGGGAAAGTCGCCGTCGCACGTGTCGATATTATCCGATGTATCCGTGGAACAAGAGATCAGAGCTACACATTTTCGAAGTAAGTGAGGATCGATTTAGCGAAGCAAAATAATATGATATCCGTGACGCAACGACGATTCCCGTTTCGTAGCAAGAATTTCCGTAGTGGACGCATTGCGAAGACGTATCGGAATGTATCTGAGAAGTTACATGGTGGCAGCGGTATTAATGCAGGTAAGAGGTATTAAAAAAGGCCGTTAAGAAAATTTGTCCATTTCATAAAACTTGATTTTCAGATCGATAACGAACAATCGTTGGCCCATTTGATAGAAATAAGGAATGTTACTGTTATTTGCATCAGTATAATTCCTTATGATTGTACCGTTTTCGAGTTGATTTCTTTGACAGATGAAATATATAAAACTATTTTAAAGTATCCTCGTTCGAATATATATATATGTATTGTTGAAATTGTTCTTAAAAATTGATAAAATTTGATCAAATTTTTAATATTCGATTGCAGTATAATTGAATCGTATTCCGGATTAATGTGCCTCGTAAATTTATTCGAAAAAGATATATCTTTTATCGTTATATTCGGACTTAGAGATTTTATAAATAATAATCAGAAAAATAATGTAATGAATGGAGTATTGTCCGCATGCCAAATATTAAAAGAAGTGAAACACATAATTGGTATTAAAGCAATTCTCATTGGCGTTTCGACTGGTAATCTTTCAAATTTCGAATATTAAATTTTTAACGAACGGAATTCGAATTATCTTAAATTTTCTCATCTTTTTTTCACATACAGGTTTAGGATTCTGTGGAATAATTGGTCATATCGTTAGAAGACAATTCATGGTTTTCGGTCAATGCGTCGACATGGCTAATTCTTTGATGATGATTTCGTACGACAAGGTTCGTCTCTGAAATTTTTACAATAATTTGTACGTCTCTGCGAGATTCTGAAAGATATTTATCGTAGATACATTGCGACTACAACGTTGTTGTAAAAAGTACTTTGAAAAAAGAGAAATTTCGTCGCCAAGGTATAAGGACATTAAGAAAACTTGGAAAATGTGAAATTTATGAGATCTTAGATGAGCCATTGTAATGTTTCTAATTATTATTTTTCTGTTTCTAATTTATATTTTCTGTTTCTTATTTATATGAGAAGTTTAAATGTCATAATATGTTTAAATTTGGTTTCATTTTAGAACAACCGAGATGTTGTCGAGCTTGGAATATAAATATCCTCTTCTCGGTCGATTCAACGAAATAGAGTACTTTAAAGATCTTTTAGACGAAATAGGAGTATCCGAACGACGTTATTCCGGATTGGTCATCGAGGTACTCGACGAGTGTATAAATTTGAACGAAATTTGAATGAAAATGAGATCGAGAATTATACGAATTAATTATTCAGGGTATTGAAAGATGTGGTAAATCGAGGATCCTTGATGCTTATGTCACGATTGTTAAAAGCAGAGAAATAAAATTGATTCAACTTTCTTTGCATCCATCTTTTGCAGAGAAATCTTACTCTGTGATATATCATATACTTCTTCAGGTAAACGAGACAAAATTTTGTTTTCCTCTTTGACGATTCAAGATTGAAAAGTTCCTTTTTTTTTTTTCTTCTTTCTTTTTCATCTAGATGTTCAATGCCGAAAATTGTATTTCTATAAACGATCGTGAAAAAATTTTAATAAATTATTTATCCGAAATAGTGGAACCTGAAAATTTATGTTACCTGAATTATATCATGAGGGTACAATTTCCTCAATCAAATACTTATTGTGAAGAAACTGATTGGCAACGTTACAAAAAGATGATCGATATCTTTGAGAAAATATTAAACGAGGTTATAAATAGTTATATTCGTGTAAAGTGATCTGTAAATTTTCCATTTCGATTTATTTATTCCTTTTTTTCAGATTATTGGTTATGTATGCATCCTTCTAGATGATGTGCACTATATGGATCTGTTTTCCTGGCAATTTTTATCCGCTATTTTGAGCAATAAACACATAGTTCTAGCTATGACAATGCTGGAACCCGTTTCGTGGGATACTTTAACCCAAATCGAAACCGCGATTAGCCAAGAGAAAAGGTTAAAGATTAAATCGTTGAATTCTTTAAACTCTGAATATTTGACAGCATTTGCCTGTCAATTTTTAAACGTTATTGCAATTCCTGAAACCCTGGAAAGGTGAAGAAATTTATATTAATTTTCTTCCATTCAAATATTATCGACGTGAATATATCAGTATATCGATTATTTCACTGTTTAGAATCCTTAGCCAACATAGTAAAAATGGGATTGCTTGGTGCGAAGCGTTCTTAATGTCAATTTTGCAAGTGAATGCATTAGAAATTATCTCGATATCTCCACAAGAAGTAAAAAAATATAATCTCGTTTTTCCAAATCCATCGTTTTTATCAAAAATTCCCGTATATTTAACGCCCGAGGAATTGGCACCACCGTTACAATGGATGCAAATGACTACATTGACTGTGTGCATACTGTCAAAAAAGCCGAAAACTCCTATCGAAGCTAATCGAGACGTTACAGGTGATTTCAAGTATTCTTTTATCAATTTTACTTTCAAGTTCTCCGAAATTATTGACTATAAAATAAATTTAATGATCGACGATTCGTTTTAGGCTTGAGAATCGATATATATAACAGAATGAACACGTACGAACAAGATATTATCAAGTGTGCCGCAGCATTAGGTAATATCTTTCATCGCAGTATGTTAACTAACGTGATAAGTAATTCTACACCATTATTCACATCGAAAGGAAAGTATTGATTATTGAAAAGAAAGTTAGTAATTATTGCATCTTTATGATTATATTATGTATTACTATGTATTCTTCTATTTTAGCCGTGGCAGAAATGATAAGGTTAAGGATCTTGGAATGTGCTATGATCCAAAGGAAATATTATATAAATATGACGACATATCATGCGTTTAAAAAGCGAAAAACTTTCAGCAACATGCATCATTTGGTGTATTGCGATTGCATTCGGATCCGTTAGCTATCTCGAAACGTGGCATAATTTTTAATCATTGTGAATTGTAATAATATTCTTTATTGCAGGCCCAATAGTAAAAGAAACATTGCCGATATATGCTGACTGCAGAGTGTTAGAATTTACGATACCTTCTTATCGTAAATTTTTTTACGATATTCTTTCTGCACAGGAAAGAAACGAATATCATATGAAAGCTATAAACATTCTTGAACAAAGTGCAAAAAAATGTAGTAGTTGTGGAAGAGGTCCATTTTTAATGCCTTTGATAGAGAAAGAAGAGAAAGTTGAGTCTTTAAAATAGTGTATATATACTATATGAATTTTTTTTTTTTTTCTAAATTATCGTAAAAGAATAATAATCAAATTTTATTTTTTCAAGGATGAAAATAATCATAAAAACTATGTGCAAAAAATTTCGGAAAGATTTGAACGTAGACGAAGTATCTTTGTAACGAAGGAAGACATCCGTAAAGACAAACAAAACACTCGCATAGCTTCCATTGTACCGACGACGTTTACCGATGAAAACAGTAAATAATATCAATATAAAAATATATCAATCTTGAAATAAATTAGAAATTTCTATTTCAAGTATATTTAAATACACATATAAATGTATAGTGAAATCGAATTTTAATCCATGTAAATTTTAATACATGGCAATTTGTGTATTTTTACTATAAGTATATATATATATTATATTTTATTTTTTTCCTATTTTCAAAAAATTTTCCTTTTCTAGTTTTTCAAATTTTCCTTCTACAAGTTTCTTATTCCAAAATATTTCCATTCAAATTTTTTCATAATACTTTTCAAATATATATATTTAATACATATTTATTTAATACATAATACATATTTTTATATATCATAAAATTGCTACTACATTTCTTCTTGTTTTTCTATCCTTACAAATTATCTACTATATATTTATTACCCATAAATTATTTAAAATTGGTAAATAGAAAAATTTACGTATCGGTGGCGCCATCTCGCGTTTGGATCCCAGAAGCTTCGACTTGTTACTAGCAAAGCAGAATATGCAAGGAGGTATTCGTGACGTCACAGGGAAGGAGAGAAATATTGTGCAAGAAGGACAGAGAGCATCTCCATTTTGAAAACGCTAGATGAAAAATTTATAAATTATTCGTTTTTTACTAAAAATTTTTACATTTTTAAGCTCGCATTTTGAAGCTAGAATTTCAGACAAGTTTCTTGTTTAAATTTTAACAAGAAATTCATTGCAATTAATTATTTATTAACAATTATCATATAGAATGTTTCAATCGCGAATCCCCATTTCTTAATCGAGTAATAAACAATCAATTTATTCATTTAAGCAATAACAAAATTATGTATAAAATTTATATATGAAAGTAGAGAAGAAAGTAATGTTTCAAATGTATATATTTATATTTAGAAATAAATTTTATAATAATGAGAAATTAGGGAAAAACGTACTGTGCGTTAATCGTGCTGAGCTATACGTGACGCATCAACCATTAATAAATAATTAATTAAAATGAATTTCTTATTAAAATTTATATAATTTTGATACGAGAAATTTGTATGATGTTCTAACTTTGAACAGCAAGTTTAAAAGTGTAGAAATTTTTAGTAAAAAACGAGAAATTAGTAAATTTTCCATATAGTGTTCTGAAAGGGGCGGGGCATACTCTCTGTCTTTCTCACGCAATATTTCTTTCCTTCCCTATGACGTCACGAATACCTCCTTGTATATTCTGCTTTGCTAGTAACAAGTCGAAGCTTCCGTGATCCAAACGCGAGATGGCGCCACCGATACATAAATTTTTCTATTTGCTTTCTTTATTTAATTTGAAATGAATAAAATGAGTAAAATAATTTTCTATATATCGTATCAAATTTTATACGTATTTTTATATCTTTATATATAATTTGTATATATATTTTGTATATTTTTGTTTTATTTTATCGTACACAATTTAAAAAGGTAAATATAAAGCAGATAAATATATATCAAATTTCATAGTTAGATTTGAAAAAAAAAAAATATAAAAATATATATAAAACAGATAAATATATCAATTAATTATAAAATAAATTATAAAATATAATTATAAAATAATAAAATTCGGTAATAAATTATCAAATAAATAGATATTTGTTCTAATGTTCTCTAATATAATTCGTGCTTTTTTTTCTTTTTAGTGGAAGAATTTATTTCTCGAGAGATGATAAAGGAAGAACAATTGCTTATTTCTAAAAAAATCGAAATGAATTCTTTCGGTATTACATACGATTTATTGGACGAAATAATGAAATCTTTCACCTATATAGACAATCGCAGTTGCACATGCATGGAAATAATAAGTTATATTTTCTGGCAGATTAGTCAACACATTTATCAAATCAGTAACGGAATTCAATTTTCTCATAACGATATGTTCCTTCGATAATTACAATAATATTAAAAGATCTTACTTTTCAGAGGATTCTCAACCAGAAATGTTTATAAAGTTCACAATGGAATATAGTGCAGGTTTGATTCAAACTGCACAAAGCTTGCACGCGATTAAATTTCTCATGAATATAAACAAGGATATGAATGAAAAGGAAAAAAATCAATTTCAAAATACTTTCAAAGAACAATGGTTAATTTTAATAGGTAAAAAGTCTATTCACCGCATATAATAATAAACAAATTGATCTCTGATCTCTTCAAGTTGAAATATTGTCGAACATTGGTTGTTCCAAGGGGATGCTTACATTGCGTATGGAAATTATTCCGAAGCGAAGAAATATTATACCGAGGCTGTTATATTGAAGACCGAGATCCCGCAAAATATGAGAACGCTTTGTTATAATATTTTAATCGAGAAATTACGATACACGATAAAAGGTATTTTAAACGTTTTCTTTCAAAATGATGAAACCTCACAAAATGACGAGGAGAAGATAGCATTAGCTGTCGCTTTGCAACGATTCTCTATGATTTCAATGGTACGTATTTGCGTGTCGTGAAAAATAAATTTTAATTTTTTTTTTTTTTTTTTTTTTTTTTTTTTTTTTTTTTTTTTTTTTCCCCGTTCAAATATACATAACATCGTTGGTAAAATTATAGATACAGAATGAAAAGAAATTGGCGAATCTCGCTATTTTGCAAAGTATTCGTATGATATTTAAAAATTCAAGCACTTTCTTAGAAAAAGGGAATGTCTATTTATGCGCTATAAACATTTTTCGCCAACTCAACGATATTAGGATGATAGAAGACGTAGAAAAAATGATTTTAATGGCTATTAGAAATAAAACTGCAATAGGTGGTTGGACGAAACCCGACGAAATTGTTATTCTAGTGAAAATCTATAAAACGATATATGATCATAGGTAATTTAATTGATTATTGGAATATTTGAATTTCACGTGGAAGGAGAAAAGCTGGCAAGTTATTTATTTGTCGATGAAAGAATATTGCAGGCTAAATTCGATGAAGGTATAGAAGTTGGAACAATAATCTGTAAGATATGTAATTATATAAACTTGAATAAAATAAAGTTCAACGTTCTACCGTCGTTGATAAAAATTATGGTAAAAAAAAAAAAGAAAAAGAAAAAGAAAAAAAAAAAAAAAAAAAAAAAAAAAAAAAAAAAAAAAAAAAAAAAAAGAAAAAAGAAAAAAATTCATCACATAGCTCATCCACAACGTGAATTATTTTTTTTTGTATATTTAATCGTGAAACTATTATTTCAGGTTTGGAAGAAACATATAAACCAAGCTGTCGACTTGTTATTCGAACTGTATTACACCTCTGAGGAGGATACAGATTATTCCGCTATCACATGGTATTACGCTCTTTGCTTGGAATTTTTATTGGATGCTTCTATGAATTTAGAAAGTTACAATAGCTGTTACGAATTTTATACCTTTATAAGTAAGGCTCGTTTTTTAACTTTCGGCCCCTCGTTATTATTATTATCGAAATCTTTTCCATCTCTGGTTATTCAGATACCAAATTGAAAACTTGCGTATTGCGAGATCCAACGAGCCTGTTGCATCTGAACAATGCTTTACTTATCTGGCAATTAAGAATGTGGGTAACTCGAGATATTTGATCGGGAATTATTATTCATTTCGTTTAAATAACGAATATTCGTTATTACCACAGGAACGTACCGCTGAATTACGAACTTGTGAAAGATGTTAACGAATATGTGAAGGATGTCGTATCTTACAATTTCTCACAATTTTATTGTTCGATCAAGGTACGAATCGAATCGAATTCGAATCACATAAATTACACCTTACTCCCGTTTAATAATTTTATTACGCCATCGTTTCACGCCACAGGGCCTCGAGTCTTATTTGTTAATATTGTATCGGCGACTCGATATCCCTCACTCGTACGATCTTTTCGAACGAATGTATTACGCCAAAAAGATCATCAAGTTTCTTCACAACGTGAGCATCTATTTCCCGTTTGTCAAACCGTTTACATATTTCCTGGAATCTTACATGAGACTTCTCCGTGGCCGAAAATCTTCGTCGCAAACTTGCATGACGAAGGCGGAAAAATACGCTATCGCTCAAGGAAACAAAATGGTTATCGCATGGATTGAACAGAACAAAAGGGTAACCAACGTGTATATATATATATATATAAGCATTAATAATTTCATCAATTCTCTCTCTAATATACCTTTCGATCGGTCGATTCGATCGGCAGACTTGGGAAGTGGATTTCTTCAACAACATGGCTGAATATTGGGTGGAATTCGTGGCGTCCTCGGAAGGTATCCTATGGCAAGAGATCCATTTGCTCAAGCCGATCGCTTGGTCTACTATATTGTACCCGTATCCACATCCCAAGTACAATTATTGATCAATCGATTTCTTAATTCTTCTAATCGCTGGGAAGAGGAAGAGGATAAATGGTGAGAGAAATAGACACTGTAGACGGCGAGTTGTAGCGAAATATTTATTGATTAAAGAAGGCGTGTTACAGTTTCAGGTTCTAGGAAAAAAAAAAAAAAAAAAACATATACACGACGATCCCCTCGTGTGTACACGATACTTGGTTTAAAAGTGAACACTCTCGTTCTTTCTCGGTTCGTTTCTCTCGCAAGGCGCTTATTGAACCTCCAGATCGATTTTTAGGAAACCAACTCGCGACCGACGATACCAGTTTTTTTTTTTTCTTTGCGTTTGTACATCCACGATATACTTTATAATTAATTAATTAATTAATTAATTCGTCTATCGGCCGAGTACGCCAAGGATACAAGCTTCCAGTTGAACGAGATAAAGGATCGAGGCGAAGTTGAGACGAGTGATGAGAGAGAAAGTAAAAAAAAAAAAAAGGAAGAATAAGATAAGGAAAGAAGATAGAAAAGAAATGGAGCGCGCGGGAAGAAGATAATCGCGAATTGGTTCGATTTGAGCATAATAATATCGACCAATTTCTCGAGTTCCACGAGTTTCTAGCACAATCCTATATCTCGCATCGCATTCATAGAAATAGAAAAAAAAAAAAAAAAAGAAGACAAGAAATAACATTGTCAACGTATACGAATACAGTTAATTAATCTGTTGCGTTAATGTACATCCATTTTTCTTGATTGAAAAAAAAAAAAAAAATCTTTACAAAATATTCCATTTTATTTACTATCGCCGGATAACAAAAATAAAACTAAAGAAATCGATCGAAATAAATTTTAATCGATTTATCCCATATCGATACACAACGAAAAGGCGTATATTAATATAATATACGACAAGCACATACGTTGCACACGTTGGACTGAATTTTCTTTTTCGTTTACCGATCAGGATGCAGAGAGTTCGGTGTTCGTTTCGAAAGAAAAGAAAAGAAAAGAAAAGAAAAGAAAAGAAAGAAAAAACGGACGCGTTTATTCCTACGCATGCGCGTAAGCAAGTTTATTAGGTTGTGGCGCTCTCGTTCCTTTGCGATTTCTTTCCTACGGAAAAGAAGGGGAACAGTGTTGGAATCCTTCCTTTCTTCCTTTCTTCCTTCTTTCCTTCCTTTCTATCTTTCTTTCTTTCGATTTCGTTGGCGTACTCGAGCTGGATATACGTTTCGTTTGGCTGAAGTGAAGAGAGAAATAAGGGGCGGGATTTGAATCGAATCGCTGTGAAAAATATCACCATCTCCTCCTCGGTTGGCGCTGCTACGCTTCACTCCGGCTGGGTGGACCTCGATCGCACGGAACACCGATCCCTCTTTCCCCCCCCACTCTCTCCCCTCATTCGTGCGCATCGACGTCGTTGTCGATGCGACTGCTTCGTATCCCGGTCTTGCCCGTCCACGGATAGATGTCCGGACACGTTTGACAAGTCTTCATGTACCTCACCCCGCTCTTGTGCCATAGATTGCACACCTTCGGATTGTTGCACTTCTTCGGCCGATCCTATCGATCGAAAATTCGAAGGTAAATCGAATCTCGTCTTATTTCTCACGGAATAACGGAACAGAGATATATATATATATAGGCGTACCGGATAGTTACATCCAAACGGTTCAAACGTGTGCAACAGGGGCAACGGCGTAGGATTCCTCACCCATTGGATCGCCTGCCAATTAGTCACGATCCACACATCGTCCATCGCCACTATCGTATCCAGGAATGAAATGAAACCCTCTTTGTGATGGGGCTGGGTGAACCATGCCGCGTGATAGAACAACCCGAACGGCGCTCTGAAAAGTTATAAATTTATTATTTTCCCTCCTTATCGTATTTCCAATCGAAATAATCAAATGAAAAAGTCGAACGACCCACCTGTTGGTCGTGTAATGTCTCTCGAAATTCTTGATCAGCATCTTGTAAACACCGTCGGCGGTGGGCGGGTTGCTGCACGCGTCTCCCATCGAGCACCTACCCCCGTTCAGATCCTGCCACATCACCATGGGAACTTCCCACAAGCCTGGATAAGACCTGGTGGGGCACGGAGGTATCATGCAGTCGTGGAACAGCTTGTAGTCCAAGGTGTAGGGCCAGCTGGGCGGTCGGTTCTCGTAAATCGGCATGGACGAGTCGTACGTGAAGTTCGTGTCCCACAACATTTTGAACATGTTGTTCCCCCCCACCTGTTTTTTATATTCGTGTTATATTTTTCCCAAAGTTCAAATCAATCAATTACATTCGATAAGATAAGAACGAGAAGAATAGAATATTACCGACAGGAATGGGGCCCTCATCCCTCTCACGTCCTCCAGCTTCACGCCTCCATAGGCGGAGAGAATTTCACGTTGTCCCGCAACCTCTCGAGCCCACTTTCGCTGAGAGAACTGCTCGCCGAAACTGTGCCTGTTTCCGGGGAGGGGGTTTATCGAGGTCCGTCGATGATTCGGAAAAAATTGGGACACGCGATCGCGGGCTGGGAATCCAAGAAATTCGATCGATCGACCGGTCCACAAGCTCGTCCAACCAAGTTTTTCTTGTTTTCGAAATCGTGGAAAAATAATATTGAAGAGAGAGAGAGAGAGAGGATACGAAACCAACAAACGTTATCTCTTTCTTCAGCGTTTGTTTGTTTGTGAAACCGGTTCTCCGATCCGTTTTCCTGCATTCTAACCCGCGTCTAAGGCGCGAAAGCAGCAAATTCTTGCCGAATTAAGCGTGGTAAGTTGATATCTCGACTAATCAAGCTGGCATTAGTTTCATCTAATAAGATGCAGAGCGTGAAAACGACAATTGGAACTGAGAAGCTGCTCGATGATAATGATTAAATGATGCTTCCTTTAACTCGATCGATCGAGTATCCTTCGAGTATATATATTTTCATATCGATATACAAATCGAACATAAATTGTACATAAGAAACAGAAAAAGCTTTACTTTATTAAGGAATGGCGAAACGTCGAATGGAAAATTCGTTCTTTCTTTCTTTTTTTTTTTTCCCCCCCTTCGGCAGATAGGACGTGACAGGTGTACTTACGAGACCGTGTGGGAGGCAATCTCATGACCGGCCGCGTAGAGATTTTGAACTTGGCTGTAGTCGGTCCACTCGTGAGAGACGTAGAACGTGGCCGAGATGGGGCAACCGTTGGGATTTTTCCTCCCTTTCTCGAACAGATCGGCGTACAGTCCCTTGTTCAGATCGTTCACGGAATCGTCGAACGTCAGGAGAACGATTTGCGGTATCTCCTCCGGAAGGTAGTCACCTATTTTTTTTTTTCAAGGATTCGGGAGTGGAGGGGGGGGGGGGGGGGAGAGAAGGAGGCGTGTCTCATTCGTGTGTGTATCGACGACGACATTTGTCCGTATTTCGTCACATTTTTTGTTCGAAGGATAATCGTGTCGTGTATCGATCGTATCACGACGATTATTTAAATTTTGTGATGGGAATGCGAGGAATGATGTGATTGTGATGCGAACAGAAAGAAGAAAAGAGAGAAAGAGAGAGAAAGAGAGAGAGAGAGAGAGAGAGAAGAAAGAAAAGTTAGTTATGCGTCATTAGTGCAGGGCGCACAGGTGGTGAAACGGTGTCATTCGTTCATCTCCACCACCCGTTTCACCACCCGTCACGTCGCCATTTATCGTTTCATCGCGATCCTCCACGATCCTCTAATTGCCTCTAATTGGTTCGAGCGTGACGAGTGGGATCCAAGTGGGAAGCCGGCCAATTTGTTCCGGAGAGACGCGCTACCTTGACTTAACGGCCATCTATCGGGAAGGGGGAGGGAGGAGGGACGGAATGGAAGGAGTTCCACTGACGCGCATCGACGAAACGAAACTGAGCAACTTCGTTTCCGAATCACGGGTCGAGGGAATCTTACTTTCGGATTGGCTCGGCTCGTTTTTATTTATTAACTCTTTTGATGGAAAGATTCTATGGGCCAATTGTCCCATCCCACTTGGCTTAAGATTAGAGGATCGTGGATGGATGAAAAGAAGCGGTTTTTCCCGTAACGGTTGGGACGTGTCGCCCGAGATAGAACGATTTCCAGATCGAGGAGATGGCGCGATACGAATTAGCGAATGGCGATGAGACTTGATTGATCTCGATAATAATTCGAATTATTATTATTAGAGCGATGGAGAAGCGATGTTTTCGAACTACTATTTCCTTTTTTCCTTTTTTTTTTTTTTCTTTCTTTCTTTTCTGCGCATCCCGTTTGCACAACTTACGAGATGGTGTGCGATGCCATTTCGTGGCCGTCCACGTAAAGGTTTTGCACCTGGCTATAATCGGTCCACTCGTGCGAAACGTAGAACGTGGCCGTGATCGGGCAACCGTTCGGATTTTTACGGCCGTTTTCGAATAGATCGGTGTACAATGGTTTGTTCAGGTCGTTCACGGCGTCGTCGAACGTCAGAAGAACGATCTGCGGCGTCTGTTCGACCGGGATTCCACCTGAGTGGAAATATTTACGACATATTATACACGTGGAGGGTTCACAGGGATTCGTTTTGAAATTCTAACCCCTAACCTATTACAGAATCAACATCAATTTTAACTCCTCTAAAAAAGAATGGCCCTTCCTTCGTACGTTCACGCGACGTATACGTATATTTATTCATTCGAAGAAACGTCTGGATCTCGAAGAGAGGACAGATTTTCTTCCGGAATTATTTATGTATACGCGCATGTATCTAACTGTTCATCTCGGATCACCGCCGCGGGCAAATTATCGCGATCCGTTCGCATCTCGGACACGTTTCCATCAAATAAATACATGTTGTATCGAGTATATCGAGATACGCTCGACGCATCGATAATAGGATCGATCGACCCGCCCGGATTCACGTCACGCGGCGAGCTTTCGATTTCGAGCATAGGGATCGAGAGCGGCGCATGCGCGAAATTACGAGCGAGGCGGATCTGTTTCACTTTCGAACGGTATTATGTGTAACGTTAGAA